AAACCCCCGTCAAGGCCGTGCGCATGAATCGCCAGCGCCTGGTTCTTCTCCTTGAAGACACGATTTACATCTACGACGTCACCAACCTCAAGTGAGTCGTGTGCCCTCACCCTGTGCATTTGGCGTCGCACCCGCGCCCTTGCTCATGGCCCCCTGGGACTTTTTTTTTTTTTCTTTAATGCTTAAAGGGTTTTGCACGTCATCAATTCGACGCCTCGAAACCCCCACGGTATTTACCAAACGTCACCGCCGAGGGCTTCTTTCTCCCCGCCACCGGGGCCACCCCCCACCTGCTCACGTTGATCATATGCTTGTCATTCTCAAATCTGGCTTAGGTGTCTGTGCCCTGGCCACTTGCAGCATGTACACCCCAGCCATGGAGCACAGCAGCGCAGCCGAAGAACCTCCCGTTTTCCACTACTTGGCCTACCCCAGCAAGCCCGGTAGCGGCGAGGTCAACGTTTACGATGTCATTGCCATGGTAGAGTTCCACGTGCAACTGCCTTCGCTACATGTCAATTTGAACTGGTTTGTTTTCTTCTTGTTGCCATTTGAACCGATTCATTTTCCTGTTCATGTTGCAGCGGATAGTGACGACCATCTCTGCACATCAAACAGAGTTGGCCTGCCTCGAGTTTAGCAACCGGGGAGATCGCCTCGCCACCGCCTCAGTCAAGGTAAACATTCTCTTATGGACGAAAACGTGAAGATGCGACTGCAGACATTATTTTTTTCTTTCCCCTTGCCCTTATTTAACAAAGGTCGCCATTTTCAACTCGTTCTGTCCAGGGCACCGTCTTTCGAGTTTTTGACAGCACCAACGGTGACAAACTCTTTGAGTTGCGCCGCGGCTACTCTACCACGGCCCTCATTCGTCACATGACCTTTTCGGTACGTGTGCGGCAGAAACAGCCACCTGCGAGACAAGAGTCTTGGCCTTGCTCACCATCAACTCGCTATCGTCTATTATTGTCTCTTCGTGTTTTTCCTTTTCTCTTCTGTTTTTGAGTTCTCATCCCGCGCTTGTCAACACCCCACCCACCTTGACCTTATGTGTACCAATGGGATGTAGGAGGACGCCAACTGGTTGTGTGTCAGCAGCAACAAGTCAACTGTGCACGTCTTCAAGCTCTTTCAGGCCGAAGCTCCACCGGCCGAGGCCTCATGGTCGTCCTACCTGAGCAGCACGCTTCAGTATGCGGCCGGCTACTTGCCCACGACCGTCACCGAGGTGTGGACTCAGGAACGCAGCTTTGCCCAAGCCATGCTGCCCGAAGATGTTGGCGAGCACATTGCGACGATGGGTGGTACCCCCGAGTCACCAACCATCATGGTCGTCTCTCACGACGGCTGGCTGTGTAAGTCATGCACAGCCGCTGCTTTGTCTCTGCTGGGCCAGCTGCTCTCTGGCTTACTCGTCCTGCTTTCTCTGTAGTCCAATATAACATCAACGTGATCGAAGGAGGTGAATGTGGAACGCCGCGAAAGCATCGTGTTGATGGGTCCGATGCCAAGCCTGCCGAGGACGCAGCAGCACACAAACCCTCAACGCCTTGAGGACCATATGTTTTCAATCCATCTCTTTCCCATCCATCTTAGCCGAAACGAGCGGCCATGCCATTTCCATGTTAACACATCAGCAGATGCCACTTGCTTACCACACAATGCCGCTCCATGCTCCGCCCACAACTTGACCTACCGATGCGCGCGCAAACACACATCACTTCACGAGCATACATTATTTGTGTCGGGATGACTAGCATATGAAGATGATCAGATTGAACTACATGCACGGTTGTGCAAGCGAAACCCCCCGCCCCTCACCTTGCGAGGTGCTCGGCCGAATCAATAATAACCTACCGAGGCCGACACTGCTGCCTGCGTGGCTCAAGTGTACAACCCTGTTACGCAGCTTGTAGTCGGTGTAAATGCCGTAAAGAAGTAGCCATTGGATGGCAAATTATACGTTTGCTTCGAAACCAACAGCGAGCCACTACGACAGGGCTCCGTGTTCCACAATTTGAATCACCACGGTCAATTCATTTGTCGCCCCGTCCTTGTGCCTTTGAAGGATGTGATAGAAAAGGTGGTGGTGGTTGATTCAGCTACTTTTTATTGAACTGCAACAATGCTACGGATGATTGGGGTTGCTCGTATTGGTTTCGGGAAGGCGTGCTGGCAGCTTCTCCGCGATTTGAGACTGCCAAGTCAATTCAGGCCGCCGTGTAATACACGACCAGCTCCGGGTAGATTTGATCATTATTAAACATGATCACCTCGTGATATTCCCCAGTCGGCCTCGCGATCACCGAATCGTATCTAGAGAACAAACACGTCGTTAAGATAGACGGAATCTCTGCTACGGCTAGCATGCATGAATGACCGAATGCACCGACGCACCGCTCGTTGTTGGGCGCATAGGGCAAGAGGGGCGGGGCCAACGCCTCGGAGTCGGGTGACTCATGCACAAAGGCATGACCCAACAACGCCCGCGTAACGACCAGCGTTCGCTGATCATTGACATCAGGCGGGTTGGCATACTGATGACTCTATCGCAAAAACACATGAGGCAATCAGAGCAATAACATTGCTACGCACAATACTTGGAGCGGACAAACACGTTCGCGCTTCGACGACCCACCTTGCCGGGGTGATCTGTTTGGTAGATGCCAAGACCAAATCGATGGCCAGCGCCGCTACCAGCAAAGCGATAGTCAAGACCTAGGCGCACTATCTTGTCGCGCAGCAATCTGTCCGGGGGAATGCCGTGAAGTAACAGGCGCTCTTGACAGGATCTATCTCGGAGCAAGGCTGGAAGGCCCGAGAGGGCGTCCATCGTGGCCGTCTGAAGTTGATTATAGTGCTCATGATTCGTGATGCGGTGCAACATCTCTCGTCGCTTCGCGCTGTAGCGCTCCCACAACACGGGATTCTCTACGCGCTCGACTCGTTGCACTGTCATGTTTGCTGGCCCTCGCCCATCGATGCTCAGCTGCTTCAACAGGTCGGCCACCTAGTCCCACATTGCGTTTAGATCAGCCTATGCGTTGGCAAGCGCAAGCCATTGTCCGGCAACGCACCTCAGGAATGAGCTCGGGCGCGTCACGTAAAACATCTATGGCAGGCCCGACTTGGCCGGCGACAGGTCGCTGCGCCAACTGTCCGGCACAGAATAGGCTTGGCCGTTGCTTTGGATCTGTTGCAAGCAAGGCCCGCGTTTCCATTTGCAAGTCGCTCCTCAAATCGCACATCTGCAAACAAGACAAACAAACATTAAAGAGAGAAAACAGCCACGAATGGAAGAAATTTGACAAGCATGGCGAGCTTCCCATGGGCCGACCCTGACAGATTCAGCCAAAAAAATGACACCGACCTCAGCGGCCAAATGCGGAAAGCTAAAGGTGCCATCGCTCGCGTCTATGCTCCATCTGCATTGATCCGCGACCTCGTTCACCCGTGGGTGAGCAGGTGGCACCGTCTGCGGGAACATGTAGGTGTTGTAGAGAACACAGCCAAAGGAAAAGGCATCCTGCGCCGGACGTGCGCCCACCCGGCCGTCACCAAAAAGGACCTCGGGGGCGACGTAGCCCGTGGTGCCTAACGATGCAGTGGCGGTGCAGGGTAGCATCGTGGCTTCGGCTGCGGCCTTGGCAATGTCAAAATCGCCGAGCCGCACAGTAGGCTGGTCCTCCGAGCCGTCCAACATCACGTTGCTCAGCTTGATATCCCGGTGCACCAAGCCCTTGCTGTGCATAAAGGCCAGGGCCGTGCGCAGTTGATTCATCAAGCCTGCAATCACGGTCGAGGTGGCCAGATGTCGAGCCGTGCTCAGCCACTGCTGCAGATCACCCTGCGCACACCACGGCTGCACCAGGTATGCGCACGCGTGGCCGCTGTGCACGTCCACAAGCGCGCCGAGGACCGGGATGATGTTTGGGTGCGCAAGCTTGCGCATGGCACGCAGTTCACGCAGAAACGTCCGGCATTGATCTTGTTTGTGCTGCTGGGCGAATGCGTACTCCTTCACCGCCAAATCTTGCTCGGGCTGCTCTGGCAGCGCTGCGCGGGCTTTGTACACCTTGTGATTTTGGTTATACTGTAGGTCAAGCTGGCCGAGACTGAAGAGAGTCAACGCCGGGTCTACTTCGGCCATGGCCTCGAAGATGAGATTTTCCGGAAGGCCGGGGCCAAGCACAGAGCGAAGTCGCGCTCCCAATCTGCTCTGCTCCGGGCGCAAAAACACTAGCAAGGCCGGAAAGTGCTGGTGGAGCAGCTGTGCCAGCCTGGCTATGTGATCGACGTGTGACCGGCCTTGCAGTTGCCCTTGTAGGGCGGTTTGCTTTGCCCTCATCTCCTGCAGTTCTTGCTCAGGGCCAGAGCGCATGTCGTCTGGCAGGTAACTCAAAGCAGTCATCGTTTGACGCATGCGCTCGGTCAGCTGTGCTAGCTCCTCATGTACGGACAAGGTTTGGTCATCAACGCTCTGAGACAGACTCATTGCTAGGTCCTTGCATGCAGACAACACAGACACTGTCTGAGCCTGCCAGTCGATCATGTCTTGCAGCTGTTGCGCCAAGGCATGTGCCTCATGATATACAAACGTCAAATACCAAGCGTGATGCTTGTTGTTGGACGAGGCCTGCTGCTGGGCCACCGCGTTGAGCCCATTCTGGTCAGAGTGGCTGAGGTTCTGATGAGCTTGACAAAGTCTCTCCCAAGCGTTGGACAAGTCTTGAGGTGCAGATACCCGATTGACTGGCTGACGCGTGGCTCGTTGGCGCAAATTTTGCACGCGACTGCTTGTGTCCTTGATTCCCTCTTGTGCAATCTTATCCAGAGCGTCGATGAGCGCAAGTACAAGGCGCTCGATATAATTGTTGCCAGTCGTCAGGCGGCGTGAACACTCCGGATCCACCACGTTTTGAAGGTTGCCCAGCTCGTCAATCGCTTCTACGAGACTTTTTGGTGGGTTTTTTGGCGTGCAAGGATTGGCAGTGGACGGAGCAGGAAACGTTGCCAGTGTTGCACAAAGTGCATGCAGAACTGGTTCCAATCTGGGCTTGCATGCGAGGTCATGCATTGCCTCGAGCTCTTCTTCAAGAGTGGCGCTTCCTTGGCTCGCTTGACTCATGCGAGCGGTAAGAACCTCGGGGATTGCAAACACCTCGTCAAGCGCAGCAACGGCCGCAGTTGTCTGGTCTCGAAAAGCGACCCAGTCCATGTCAGGTAAATCCACGGGCGCTGCGTCAAGCATCTCTTTGATTGCCGTGGCAAGGGGTCGCACGCTGGCGTTGTGCTGAAGGGCCCCGGAGACAAAGGCATCGAGGTGTGGAAAACGATGAGATTGCCACAACCACCGAGGCCATCATCTGTCCCAATTGCGTGGGCAAAGCAACATGAGGTGGTATCAGCATGGATGTTGAGCCAGAGAGATAATATGGCGGTGATGCAATATTTTCGATGCTCGATGCCAGAAGACGAACCTCCACAGTCGGGGTCACACTAGGCAGCGGAGGTAGCCAGGTGATGGGCTGAGGCGACTTGGGCTGCGTAGCAAGTGAGCGTGGCTGTCGCCTGGGGTCTGAATGGGCGGCAGAGGGTGCAGATGTTGGCCGAGCACCATGGCTTGCACCCTAGAGGCACGAGGCAAAGGACAAGGGTCAGACACCTCAACTGAAGTAACAATGACGCTTGCCAGACAAGCAAAATCGTGCCTGGGAAGAGGAGCTTACGCTCACTGAACGAGAGGCTTGCGAAACAGTTGGACGACGCTGAGTGTTATTTGCAGCCCTGTGAGCTGCAAACACGGGCTCCAGTTTGTCGCCATGTCCACATTGGCGCGCCAAATCGAGTGGTGCCTTGCCATACTGTTCAACAGATGAGCACAACAAGCCACCTGAGCAAGAGGCGTGACGAGCAGTGAAGAATCAAAGTGGCGTGTGGGACCCGGTTCTCGCGAAAAAAAAAAGCGACAGTGGTGAAAGCACGCGACAGTAGGAGAACAGGGATCAACAACGTGGGGAAAAAGTGTCGCAATAAAGCATGCCAAGCCCAAGCAACCGCCGCTGTCACCAGAAAAACGAAACAACATCATCAAAGAGTCGAGGGAGTGGCAGGCACTCACTTTGGTCTTGGCTTCAGCATCAGCGCTGCACTTCAAAAGCATCTCCACCACTTCGACATGCCCGTTGAGGCAAGCATGGTGAAGTGGCGTGATACCGTGCTGTCCATCACGTCCATGCGGAGCACAATCATGTCAAAAGGTGAAGGCACTTTGATGACGAGGATCGGCAATAGCGGGCAGGTAGATACTAACGGTGTTCTCAACTTTGGCACCAGCACCATGTGTCAAGAGCATCTTCACAATCTCCACATGACCATGATGACAGGCGTTGTGCAGTGGTGTACTGCCGCCCTATTTGTCGATGCATCGCCATGAATGGCAGACCAAAAAAGAGTGGGAGAAGAGAAGTGGTCGACTTCAGAGCACAGCCATGGTGAGTGAGAAGAGGAAGGCACTCACGTTGGTCCTGGCTTCAACATCAGCATCGTGCACCAACAACGTCTCGACCACCTCTACTTGACCTTGATCACAGGCCTTGTGCAGTGGTGTCTCGCCAACCTAAGGTCCATCACATACAGATGTGACATCATCAAGTGTTGGCGATATACATTGTTTGCAGGCGGTATGCCAAATGGAAGAGAGAAGGCGGGCGGCAGGGAAGCGGTCAAAGTCAAAGAGCAGCCATATGAGGAAGAAGAGGAGAGCACTGACGGTGTCCTTGGCTTTGGTATCAACGTTGTGCTTCAACAGCATCTGCACCACCTTTGCATGACCGTTAAGGCAGGCGCCATGCAGCGGTGTAGTGCCATCATCCTGTTTGTGAATAGCGACCAGGTGCAGCAACATGAGCCCTCAAAGGTGGTGACATGTGGGGAAAAAAAAGGCGGGCTTTCAAAGCGTAGTAGCCCATACGCCCACCGCCATCAGAACAAACGGCAAAGGTATGATGATGTACCTCATCTTTGTATGTAGCAGCAGATCGAATTCTTTGGGAGCCCCAACTCTTCAACAGTTGCAGCGCCTTTCGGGGATCGGCTGAACCACAGGCCTTGTACAGCTGTACTCCGTCCGAACGCATAGTATCGATCAGTTCTCAAACCCCAATCGCCTCAGACGACCTGCAGACACACCAATTTCCTGAGCCCCTCGAAATACAAGCGTTGTCCGACATTGAAAAGTGGGCCTGGCGGACTGCATCCAATGGCAGCCAACAAACGAGCAGCAGGCTCTCCGATGGGTCCAGCCTTCTCAGCAGTATCTTCAAGAAGACGAATGACTCACCGCCATTCGCCTCTTGCAACTCTTGGGTTTGGTATTTGCCCAGCTCCGGGCATCAACTGCCGAATCGCGATCCAGTATCACCGGTCGAAGATCGAATCTTGTGGCCGTCAAGTTAGCCATCTGCTCAAAGTGATACGCTCCTGCGATGAGAGGCACGCGCACACTTGCCGCCAATGAACCAGATCCAACCGAGACGACACACACGCACACACACACACGCACACACACACACACACACACACACACACACACACACACACACACACAAGCACACACACGCACACAAGCACACACACGCACACACACACACAGAGCAGAGCATGCGCGAGAGAGAGAGAGGGAGACTGAAGCGCGAAAGAGAGAGAGAGAGAGAAATGAATTGGTTTGGTCGGTTTGAGAAAGAGAGAAAGGGAAAAGCACAGCTACCACATGTAACAACAACAGGGAACAAAAGAACTGAGATCGCACAGAGAAATAGAAGCATGAAGTTCTTTCTTCTGCAGCCGGCATATGCATGCATGTACGCATATGTGCATGACTCCCCTGGCCTGACATGCTCTGAAGCCGCGCGTACAGGACTGAAGCATCGTCGAAACGTGTAGACACGGCGCTGCTCGTTGCACAGTACCTACGACTGGCTTACGCCTGTGTGTATGGGGAGAACCTTGTGCCACCTGCTGCGTTGAGTGTGGCTTTTGTCACCGTGCGCACTGTGGGTTCGCGACAATCGCCACGGCACGCCGCTGTAGGAGAAGGCGCGCTCAATTGGATTGATGGCTACTTCAAGCACACAAGTCCGCCCATACTTGTGTCTCGAGGTGCGTGTTGGATACTTGATCGTGCGAGCTGGACATACACCACACGCCCTGACCACAGGTCTCAAATTAGATTTTACCCCTGCACCAAAACATCAAGACATGAAATCAAGATGATTCGAGTTCCAATGCTCCTCACCTTGGTCGATCAGGTAGGTGGCCGGCTATCCGACATCAAAGGAGCGATGCAAAGTTCTTTTCTTGGGGCGGAGATCAGCGACTGCCAATTTAAAAAAAAACGGATTTCATCAAGCGTGCTACATGTGTCATTCCCAAATCGTGCAGGAGGCTGCGCTGCCTCACAAACCCCGCCCCCGCCCCCGACGCCTTGCCCGTTGAACGCCATTTCCTGACCCTGAAGCACTCACATCTCGGCTCGACCAAAACGACAATGGGTGCAAACTTTTGAACGTTCGAGCTTACACTAATTTGAGATGACCCACTCAGGACATTGTAACGATACATGTTCAGTGGGCAAGTATATCCGTTTACGTATGTACACGCACCATCGGCGTGATTTGACAGCTGTCCGCCCTGAATGACAGCCGTCCTACTCCTTCCGGCCTATGGGGGGGAGGGGGGCGCCCCCACTCTGGCACATCGTGGACATCGCAACCTGGCGTGGAGAGATTCATTCGCTCGCTGACGACGCTCTTTGGTGGTGGTGAGAGGAGTCATGCGATGAGGACTGGGGCAACGGTGTCCAAAGCGGGGGCGATCAGGGTGTCTCGGCATTTTTTTCCTCCTAGTCCATCGGGACAGCTGATCAAATGGCCGCTGCACCCGGACCCCTTGCCATGCCACGCATTGCCATCGTGGGCGCCGGTCTCAGCGGTGTCGCGGCGGGTGCCATTATCATCCGGCGCCTCCCAGCGGCTCAGCTCACCATTTTTGAGCGTGCCGAAGCCAACCGGGATGAAGGCTACGGCCTTGATCTGAATGCCGAGGGCCAGGTACAACCACTGCCGTGTTTACTGCGTTGCGGCACCGTTTGGTCGGGATAGATCTCGCTTCTCCTTGTCAAATTTGCTCACGACCGCGCTTTTGGGATCGGTCTGCAGGCGACCCTGCGCGCTGCGGGCATGTTTCACCGCTATGGCGAGGTTTCTCGGCCCAACAGCAACGTCACCAAGGTGTTCAGTGCCAGTGCCGATGCGCCCATGAGCGTGCGGTGGAAGCCGGCCCTCCTCAAGTGGCTCTTCCCGCGCTCGATGCCTGACGAGCCCGAGTCATCGCGCGCCGGCTTGCGTGAGCTCTTCCTCGATGCCATGCGTGAGTGTCCTGAACGCGTCGACATTCGCTACAGCCAAGACGTGCAGGACCTGCGTCCCGTCGAGGGTGGTCAGGCCAGCGAACTGCTCGACGGCCAAGGCCAGCCGCTCGGCGTATTTGACCTCGTCATTGACGCGAGCGGAGTGCACAGCAAGCTCCGGCGCCATCGGGTTGTGGATGAGGAGGGCCTTCGTTGGGGCGGCCAAATGTTGATACATGGTCTATTGAAAGATCCCGAGAGTTCTCTGCCGCCCCAATTTGTCTCGCGCCTCGGCGAAGGGAGTTTCTTTGTCATGGCGCATGGATTTTTCATGGCCTTCCAACGCTTCAAGGCCGAGCTGCAGGACCACAGCACCGCTCTCATCTACATGTTCCACCGCACCCCCAAAGAGGACGATCCCTGGGGCGCCTCCGTCTTTGAGGAAGTTGGCATCAAGCAGGCCCGGACTCGCAGTGCCGGAACGCATCACAAGGGCTCAGCCGAGCACGACTCCCTGCGAAAATTTTTGCACCAGGATATGAATAGGGAGATCCTTCCTCGCCTGATCTTGCCAACACGTGGATGGTGTACAGCACGGCAGCACCCTATGCTTTAAGGTTTTTCTGCATCCCACAAACCTTCCAAACAGCGCAAGCTGCAACCTCGACTTTGTAAAACTTCGGGCTTATCGAACATCAACTTCCTCTCCTCTCCTCCTTGTTTGATTCCATGGCCGATCGTGCGTGCATGCATGCAGTTTGGAGAGGAAGAGCAACAGCTCCAAGAGCGAGCTTTGTTCTTTTCTTGTTCTCGATCGGGCGATTGCCCCTGCAGTCAGTCGCCCAGGCCGAGGGGCGGGTGACACGCAACTGTTGATACTTCAACCATGTACGACGCTTCGAATACCCACACACACAATTAGAACCAGTTGGGGGCCCAACTAGCGGTCGCGCGTTTGACTGCTTCGCTTCTTTTGTGCGCCGCGCGTGCACCTTTTCTCGATTGAAACAGACCGGGACATTGTCCACATTTCCACTGGGCGCAACCCAAACCGTGATTGGTTGTGGCTGCCCAACACGCCCGGGTTTGGCATTTCCAGGGTCTAGTCCCAGCTAGTGGAGCCTTCCACCAACACCCGCTGCCATGGCCACCGCGCCAACGCAAGATCACGGCTGCATGCGCTGGTCTGCCGAGTGCCTGACAGACTATGTCGGCCTCTCCCGTGCGGTACGCACCCAAGCTTCCCACCACCACCCCTCGCACACGGTGCTCGTCTTGGGCTAGCTTTCCAGTCTCATGTGCCCCGCATGATCCGTAGCTCCTCAAGCAGCAGGCACGCCAGAGTCGCAGTCGTGTCAATGCCATCAGCACTTATTTGCAAAACTGTGCGCCCTTGCCAGCTGCGATCTCACCCCGCGAGCAACCCGCTCGGCTGGACCCCTCTAGCACAGTTCCACCTCACGTCCTTGTACTTGGCCCCGCCCCTCGCTGCCCCTTTTCAGCCGAAGGCCTGTATGAGGCTCTTGTTCAGAATCAACCGCAAAAGTCAGACTTTGTGGTCCAAAAGGTCCTCGGCACTGGCCAGTTTGGTAAAGTAAGTCGCGCGCGTCCCTTGCGCGGCACGTCCTGGGTTCCTGCGAGTCTCCTGACAGATATCGCCTGCACATTTGTTTCTGATAGGTCGATCTGGTCAAGGATACCAAAAACAACCAGCTCTTTGCCATGAAGACGTTGCTCAAATCAGCAAGCGCCAACGATCAAGTATGGAGCTCCGCCCCTCTTTGCCGCTTCTTTTACATCTTGTGCATCGTGACCCGAGGTTACTTGCTGCACCATACAGGCCCAAGTCTTTGAAGAACGCGACGTTATGGTTGCTGCAAACGGCATGGGCAAGTCCCAGTGGATTACACGTACGTTATTGACCCTTGTTCTGGCCCGCCGACCGTGGTCCCGCCCTGCACTCATCTCGGTGGGTTGTGCGTTCTCTGGGGTTTGAAACAGACCTCCACTATACCTTCCACGACAACGCCGCCTTGTACCTGGTGCTAGATTTCCACCCGGGGGGTGATCTCTTCGCCCTGATGGATCGAGTCAAGGCCCTCTTTGGGACCGACCCGGACACGTCCGGGTGGCCCTGCTTTCCGGTGTGGCTCCTCGTCGCGCCCGCACACAGTACACAATCTGCGATGCGAGGATGCGCTGCAGCCTGCCCTTGGCCTGACTTTGCTCGATGCTGACCTCTCGCCGTTTTGCAGGAGGAAGTGGCGCGCTTCTACGTGGCTGAATTGCTCCTCGCGCTCGAGGAGTTGCACGGTCTTGGATTTCTTCACCGCGTACGTCCCTGCCCCTTCACCATGCGTACTCCAGCCAGATGTACCCTTCGCCTCGTGTTTGGCCTCACCGTTTGGCCTGCACAACTTTTGCTCTGTACTTTCGTAGGACATCAAGGCCGAGAACCTCATGGTGGGCGCAGATGGTCATCTGCGTCTTGTTGATTTTGGTAGTGCCATTCGCACGGACAGCAACGGCATGGCCTACTCTCGCCCAGTGGGCACCCCCGCCTACCTGCCCCCCGAGCTGGTGGGTGCCTTCAACGGACAACAAGACATTGCATACACCCCCCAGTCTGCAGCCGTTGACGTCTGGGCATGTGGCATTACTGTCTTTGAGCTGGTCAACGGCGATGTACCCTTTGGTGTCGACGCCTTTGAGGTGTATCCGGTTCTGGAAGAACTATCCAAAGACCCCGATGGTGTGGTACGTGCAGCGTCATGTGCTTATTTATTCGCGACTCTCGCAACTTTTGGGTAACCCGTGCAGTGTTTTGAAAAAAAAAAAAGGCGCTTGACAAAACCCGAGCGCAGTCACCGGCTCACTGGACGTTGACATGTCTTTTGCTTCGCCCGCGGCGGCACAACCAATGTGCTCGCTCTTGTCTTCCCCAGCATTCTCGCTTAGACTTTCCCGAACCTACCTCGCAGTCATTTAAGGACTTTGTCTTTGCGCTCGTTGCAGCCAAAGACCAGCGGCCGTCCGTGCGTGCTGCCATGAACCACCCATTCCTATGCGACTTGCAACTGACTGAACCCAGCGTATTGCAGCGACTTAAGCCGCCGTTCGTGCCTCAGCTGAAGACGGCCGATGACACCTCTCACTTTGACGAGGTGGAGCCTGCTAGCTTGCGCCAATTTGCCGCACAAAATCAGCCCTTTGTGCAAGTCAACTCGGACTTTGATCCCAGTGCCCTCAGCTTTGTCGGTTTCACCTACAGCCATGAACCCGACTTGGTGAACAATTCGACCAACAAAACAAGGGAACCCAGAACAGCGCTCAAGAGCCAAACAGCGGTGCGGGAGGGATCTGAAGCCCCAGAGCGCTCACGGGAAGTGGCCGAGCTGCGTGAAAGGCTTGCCAGCGCGCGTGCTGAGCTACAACAGCACCAAGGTGCTCTTGTTGACCGTGATCACAAAGTCAAGACCTTGCAAGAGGAACTGGAGCGCTTCAAAGACCAGGTGGCAAATCTTGAGTCGGACCGAGCACAGCAACAAAGCCAACTCGACAAGTTGCAAGCTGCGACGTCCGACCAACACCGTGGTGCGTGACATGCCCATGTGCCCGGGTACCCAGACAGAAACGAAGAACCAAGTTGCTTTCGGCCCGCTTCTTCTCTCCCCTGTTTGCCTGCTTTCGTTTGGAAAGCTGGTATGGCTGGCTTGCATAATGAGCCCACCAACTGGTCTTTTTCCACACCTTGGTAGATAAGCTGCGCCGCAATAGCAGCATGACGACGAACATAAATGCCCTGCAAGATCAACTGGCCAGCTTGAACGAGGAAAATTGCGAGTTGCGTGCTCGCCTTGAAAGCGCCGAGGCCCTGGCCGACGAACGACAGCGATTGGTGCGCGAAGCGCAGCGCTCGCGCCAAGACGAGACGGCTAAGCGTGAGGGCCTTGGCCTGGAAGTAGGTTCACGCGTCTCAACCTGCCTGCCGTTTCCTTACTTGACCCCAGGACAACTCTTGTCGCTCAAATCCACAATGTTTTCTTGTTGTGGGGTCCAGCTTGACAAGTGTCAAAATCAATTGACGCGAGCCGAGCGCCGCATTGAAAGTCTGGAGCAACAGGTACGTGCATTGCAAGTCCTCCAAGTTTATTGCGCGCTGTGATCGCTCGGTGCTCATCCCCGATGGTGGTCAACGTCAGCTGAGCGAGATGAAGGAAGCAAGCGCAGCGCAGGAGCTGGCTTCTAGTGAAAAAGCTGTTGCCCAATCTCAGGTGCGTTGCGACGAGCGATTGGTGTGCCGAGCAATAGGTCAGCTCAAGACATGCGCACCGGTCAACTTTGGCAGGCCCTGGACGCGGCTGAGAAGAAAATTCAACGCCTTCAGGAGGAGCTGCAGGCCAAGAGCTCGGCCCCGGGATCAGGACCGGCGTCTACCCGCACACGCCAAGGCCTGCGGCGCTCACGATCCATCTTTGCTGAGGGGACAGAAGAAGGACCGCAGGCTCAGCGTGAGATTCGTCTCCTACAAAGCAAGCTCGAGCGTGCCGAGCATGATCTGCAAACTATGCGTGAGCAATACGACCGAGTAATCGATGGAGGTGAAAATAGCGTCATGGCTTCACGTGCTGCCACTAGACGTCCTTCGGCCATGTCCACGGCTGGACTTGACCCGGTGCCGGAGCACGCTCCTCGGACTCAACAGTCGGCCGCTTCGCCTTACCACAACCAAGAGGCATTTTGGGAGACGGACGCCATCATGACCCCTTCGCCCCGGCGCATGCGCAACACTCGCTTTAGCAGCGATGGAAGCCCCATGCGCTTGCTGCCTGAGGCACCAGCACATCAGCCCCACGGCAAGCGAGCACCGCCACCTCTTCCGACCCGCAAGCCCAACTTGCCCGTGCAGGCCGTCGTCGATGGCTGTGAGCATGCTCCGCACGGCCGTTTCGAGGCAGCTGTGCTCATGCGCGAGCCTCATGTCGTCTTACAGGAACGAGGCGCAGAACCGCACACGCCCCCCGTTGTTACCATCAACTTGAGTGACATTAGCCATGTCGTCCAGTTGTGGGAGCAGTTGCCCAAGCCATTGGTACAGTTGGCAAACTTGACACCCAGCGAGCAGGATCGGGCGCTTGCTCTGACCGTGCAGGTGGCGGGCCACATGGAGCTTCGCGTGGTGCTCGTGGCCTCGTCACTCGGCATCAAGGCTAGCATCACCAAGCAGATTCGTGCTATCCACCGCAACTTCCCCAGCCCCAGTGGATGGCAGGTGCGCCCCCGCTTCCAGCTACCCGATGTGCAGATTACGGGCCTGGCGCAGTTGCCCTGGACAGATTCGGAATGGCTTGTGGGAACGAGTGACGGTCTGCTCTTTGCAGACATTGTCCAGCAAGATGACTCCCAGAGTGGCACTGCCGGGAGCACACAAGCCGTGGCATTTACGACGTTTACGCACGCAGTACACAGTCTGCAGGTCTTCCAGCATCGGCGGCAACGCTATGCCGTCTTGTGCTATGGCGAGTCGCGTGCACTGGCTTTTGTCAACATGTCACAACTTGAGCGGTCCAAGCGCACGGGTCCTGTGCCGTTCCAGCCTCGGCGCCACGTTAGCACCCGACGACGCTCTGAACCCATTATTGAAGCTGGTTTTGACATGAGCAAGCTGGCTGAGGTTGAGCCGGCCGATGTCACTGGCTTTGCTGTCGGCTCGGTCGAGGGTGCCGTGTACATGGTCGTGGCCACCACAGAGGCCCACCACTTTTACAGTAGCTCGAGCGTGGACTCTCTGGACCTGCAGCTGCGGCGCCAGGCCAACGGGCGCATATTTGCGCACACAGGGCCGAGCTTGCGCTGGATGCCCCGTGTCCAGCGCTTCGCCTGGATGGCCCATGACGTTTGGTACTGCCTTGATCCCGTCAAGTTGCAGGTTATGTCCGTTCTGGACGAGGAGAACGGCGCGCTGGCCGAACACGTGGCGCGCCAAACGACGGGTGACGTACGAGCGGTCGACATTGTGGACCTGGCCCCCACCCGTACGCTGCTAGTCTACGAGGACTACGGCCTGTTGGTTACAGAGAATGGCCGCCCGGTGGCAGGCGACACCCTCAAGCTTGACTGGACCGCAGCCGGTGTGCAGCAAGTCATTTGGGCTGGCCATACTTTTGTGCTGGTTACGGCCACCAAGGAGTTGGCTGTCCTTACACCCGACTCGTATCGCCTCTCCATGCTGCCCGTGCGACGGGTCGAGCGCGTCTTTCGCTACGATCAGGACGTGATTATGCTACATCGCGACGATCAAGGTCATATGCAGCTCAGTTTGATGACCCGTCCACTTCTTTCCATGGTGACACGTGCGCGCCGCTCTGCACGTTCTCTGCGCTCCGCCCTGGCCCACCATGAATCCGAGTTGGACACGGTCAATGAGCTTTCACACCAACTGCGAAACTTGGAAGACACCCTCAAGGAGATGAGTTAGGCGCTCGGAGCACATTCAAACCAAAGGTCGAGAACCGCCAGTGGTGTGCACTCTAAATTGCATCAGAAGCATCAATGCCTTTTGTTGCGTGTATGTTCAAGACCTTTCCGGCATCAGTTTGCCAGCCAAGGGGAAAACCAAGCAGGGTGTGTCAAAATAAAGAAAAAAAGAAAGTAAGCCCTGGGACTGACTGCAGATCTTATGGTTAAATTCTTTTCTCTGGACCACGATGGTCCCGACAATGCACCACACAAGAAAAAAAAAAGCGGCGTCAGAAAGGGACTTGAGAAGTGAATGAACGAGAGCCCACTCACACCTCACAGATTATACGTCATCGTAAATCAGACTCTGGCGAAATTCCTCAATGCTTTGAGGGCCTGCTTCGGCCGGCAGCGTCGAGGCCTCGGCCGCCATGTCAGCAATCATGGTCAGAGCATCTTCAATGGCTCCATTGAGCTCCGAGTCGTTACTGGTACGCAAGCGTTGCGATAAACGCTGAGACAGGCCTACTTGCATCTCTGCGATGAAACATGAGAAAAAGAAGCCGCGTCGTGAGAAGTCGTCGAGACCAAGCTGTCTCAAAGTGGAAATCAGGTGCACGTGCAATCCTGTAGCCGTGGTGGGTCGAACCATTTTGGAGTCTTCGGTGCGATTGTTGCACTGGGTCGGCTGCTGCGGGTGGTAGCGCTGCATATTCATCCTCGGGCTCCTCCATGATAGCTAGCGCAACGCAACATGTAACCTCAGTGAATTCTGAATCAAAGGATCTAGACCAACAGGTAGGCGCCATCAAGTCAACACACCTGGTTGGGATCCAGCCCGCATGGCCTGTGCCGTCTCTGCATCCGTGTACAGGACCTGATCCTGTGGGTTTATCACATGCGGTTCGAGTGAGAGAGGCTGTGGAAGATTCTGGCGGCCGGCAGGGTTGAACAAAGCACTCACCTCTGCAGCAGGCTGTGCGGCTGGGAGAACAAAATTATTGTTCGATCACGAGGCGTTTGCACACAAGAGAAAGAGGTGAGCAATCACATGGAAAGATGGCACGGGGCAACAGAATCGGAAGGAACATGAAATGAAAAGTTCGCACCTGCACCATTGGGGTTATAGGGTGCGGGGATGGTAGGCGCACTGGCACCACCTGCCAGAAAGGGCGAGGTTCGAGTGAGCTTGTCCTCATTGCGGATGCATCAAGGGTTGAATGGCACCCCATGGCACCAAAGACACGTACCTTGAGGCAGCGGAGCGGGCGCACGTCGAACAGACGGCTGTGACTACAATGGTGAAGATGATGTGATGTGAGCGATGAGCGGCAATTCGGCCATGCGATACCAACTACGGCAGGGCAGGTGCGAGGCAGATTCATACCTTGGGCTTTGGATGATCGACTGGGGTTGGCTCGTAAATGTCTTCGGAGGGATAGCCGGTAGCAGCACCAGTGTTGGCTGAGACGGGTGGTGCGGGATCGATTGTGGCCAGTGGTGCTGGCTCGGATGAAGGTGCCTGAGGGGCAGCCACGGTGTTTTGGGCAGGCACAGGCGCCGGGGCCTGTGCTGGCTGTGTTGCTGGGGCAGTCGTGTCAATCAACTGGCTGGCCCGTCGCGCTGCCAAGTCAACTGCGGCCCCCGTGCGATTATCAACAGCGACGCCATACAGAGCCCCCGCATCGGCCGCAGTTGGTTGACTCGGGGGAGCTGCGGGCGCAGGCGCAGCTGTTGTTGTGTCGTCACCATCCTGTCGCAGAGAACAAAGAACAAAGACGCCGAATAACAACGGGCATGAGAAGGATGCGACAGCGGCTTGGAGCATGATCTCACGGAAGAAACACTGGATGGGGGCACGGACCGCAAGCAAAGCTTTGGCCACTTCTGCCGCCATCTGCTCTTGCGTGATGATGCCATTTTTTACCTGCGTACACCACAGAGCCACTTGTAAGTGGATGGCAAATCAAGATACAATCCAAAAAGAAAATCACACAAGACTTTCGAATCATTTCTCGGGCCTTCCCAAAGGCGAGGCGGGAGGGTGTGTGCCGGCACCCAGCTATTGAAACGACTGTGCAAGCGCAAGTTGTGTGCTGTACCATGGTCATTAACGCGCGAAGTTGGGACGTGGAAAGGCCTGGCTTGGCAGATGACTTTTTCTTCTTCTCCTTCTTGCTCTTGCTCTTCTTGGACTTTGATTTCTTCATTGAGGACTCGGCCTCGGCGGCAGCGGCAGCTGCCTCCAACTCGGCGCGCGACTGGTAGTCTTGTGCTAAGCAAGGCATGCGATGTGCGTAAAATCAGCGAAAGCCGGGATGCCATGCCATGCGTCTTGAAATGTGCAACTGACCCAGCTCAAGCAGACGTCGGTCCATCTCCTCCATGGTCATGGCACCATCCTTGACCTGCATCATGAGCTCAACGCGTTTGTGCTCGGGAACTGCAGCAATGATGCTCGGGGCCTCTGCCAAGATGCAGCCGGTGAGGCGAGGTACTCCAGAAACACGCGCCAATTGAAACCCCCTTGGTGAGGGAAAAGAGGGAGGAGGACAGGACGACCAGGCGCTGGGACAAACCTGAACGGTCATCTGGTCGCACAACAGGAAGCGATGCTTTGGGCAAACGCGTCGACTTTTTACTGCCGCCGCGTTTGAGGAGGTTGCGGAATGTGCTCCGGCCAGCCTTGCGAGTGATGCTTGATTCTTGACCATCATCGGCGCCACTGTCTTCACGGGCCTGATCGCCAGTATCTTCTTCTTCGGCGGGCTCGCCAGTGTCTTCGACGTCGTCGTCCGATACCTCCTCACTATCCACACCAAGCCAAGAAAGACCAAGCCCGAGGAGAGCAGGTGTGGTCAGGGGCAAACTCAGCATGTGATAGAAACAACGACTTGCCGAAGAGCTAAAACGCACCTGACCCCCTCATTGTCATCCGAGCCTTGCTCATCCTCTGATGGTTCAGACTGGGCAGCGGCAGCACTGGGTTTGTTGCGCAGCGAGAGGGTTTGACGGCGGATTTGGGTGGCCAAGCTGGCAGCCAGGGAATCTGAGCGGACCTATCAAGCGGCAGGTGCCAGGTGAGCGCCAATTCCTAGGGCTGACCTAGCCGGCACAGCCATGTCAAGTCATGAGATCAAGAGTCATACCTTGGCTTGGTCACCATGAACGATAGTATTGAGATCTTGGTGAAGGTGAAGGAGTTTGTCTTCAATCACGGTATCGGCACCCTCGGGAAGACTGGACTGGCGGACGACCCCGCGTGGGCCAGGGGGTGGGGGGCGAGCAGGCGCGATGCCATTTGTTGGTTCGATGGTGGGAACAGAGGTGTGCACCACCACCTGAGAGCCCAGGGGCACGGGTGCTTCGTATTCACACTCGGGTTCCTGGGCGAGCCCAAGGTCTGGCTGTCGAGGCTTGGGGTCTGAAGGCTGATCAAGGCGATTCAGTGGTGACCAGTTTTCATATACGGGCTGGCGAGTTGCCTCACCGCGCGGTAATACAGGGGGAGGTGCAGCGGAGTCGTCGGTGGAAGGTGTTGGTGGCTGGGGCGCCGGATGCGGATCATGTGAGGCTAGGCTAAGCGGGGTGGGCTGTGCCTTGACAGCAGCGCCCTCGGTGTTGCCATAGACATGTTCACCTTCTGCAGACTCGGACGTGGCATTGCGTAAGGTGTTGCCGTAGATGTGCTCCTCCTCTTCAGCCACCTGACCAAAGTTATCAGGTGTGGGCTGCGGAACGCGGGGCAAGACGGCTGAGATGTTGCCGTAAATGCCGGGTTCGGCGTCGGCCGCAGATTCGGATTCCAGTGAAGTTGCGGTGCGTGGTGCCAGTGCAGGCACGGTCGAGGGCGCGCTCGCAGGAGAGGTAGGAGTGACATCTGATGGGGCTGCTGGCGGTTCAGAAGCGACGGGTGGTGCAGGTGGTGCGGGCGGTGCGGGTGGTGGTGCGGGCGTTGCGGCAGTCTCGGGCTCGGCAGGGGCAGGGGTGGTGTTTTCCGAGACAGGGGCAGCAATAGGGGCCTTTGGTTTGGGGGCGGCCGCAGGCGGCTCGACGAGGGGCTTGGAGGCAGCTGGGGGCGGAACAGCCGGCTTTGGCTTGCTGGCTGGGGCCGCTGGCGCGGGAGGTGGGGTCGACTCTGCCGGCTTTGGCTTGACTGCCGGCTTGGGTTTGGGCTTGGGCATCACCTTTGGCGGCGCCGTTGGTGCTGCCACTGCCGGCTTGTTGCTTGCCATGACCCCTTTGGTGATGGCACCTGCAGATGAGTGTGCGAGTGGGAGTGAAGGGAAAGGGGAAGGGGCGTAAGTGAGCGAGCGGCAGCCGTAGATCTTCATCATCCAGTTGTTTCCACCGCGTAGCAGCGATAGCAGACACCTCAGCCACAACCTCGACCACAACCTCGGCCACGTACCAGCAGCAGTAGCAGCTTCAGCAGCTCCAGCAGCTCCAGCAGGTCAGGCGTGCGTTGGCGATGACGAGGGCGGCGGTGCCACTGACGACTGAACGGCGGAGCCAACAAAATGCCACACACACCACACACACGAGACACTTGACCCACACTTATCAGGAGCTGGATCCACTAGAAACCCATTTGTACCACCACACCTTCATGTCGGTACAGCCACACGCTCAAGGTATCCCTTTTTTCTTGTGTGTGTGTGTGTGTGTGTGTGTGTGTGTGTGTGTGTGTGTGTGTGTGTGTGTGTGTGTGTTTCTCTCTCTCTCATCTCTTTTGTCATGCTGAACTGGATGAGCAGAAATCTCACTGCGTTCGTGAATTTGTGTTTCTTCTGTCTTCTTTTGTCTTCAAACAGCTGAATTTTGTTGATGGGAGAGAGGAGAGGGGACAGGAGGACGGGGACGGGGGGAGGAAGGGATGGATTTAGACGTCAGTCGTTGGGACTGGTTGTGGGCGCATCATGAGGAGGGGTGTGTTCTGCAGCGCCTTTGGATCAAGCATCAACATTAGCCCAAAACGGCGGGATAAGACCAGACGTTCAAGCCCGAAACGTTGGGACGACCCGCGTCGTTGTGAGTCGAGGAGCTGGACACGCTACGATGATCTCGCGCGGCAAGGGTGGCCTGGCCAGCGATGATAACAAGACGATCCCCAAGCAATCTGGAACGGCAGTGATTCAATGACAAGCGCACCCCTGGCAAGAGCTGCTGGGGGTCCACGCCCGTGATTTGGACATGCACCGTGGCCGTGTCATCGCCCACCACCGCTTCCAGCAATCGAGTTTCACCCCGCTGCAAACTCCCCAACAGATGGACCAAGGCCACTCGTAATTCAAAGCCCACCATCCCTGGACGAACAGCAGCCACGGCAACCTCCCGGCTTTGCTCCAGATTGATCGTAGACGCTGCCGCGCCCGTCTGAACCTCGGTCGCACGGAAGGATGTTGCGCGCTCCCGCAAAATGTCATCTGCGCTCGCCACACTCAGTGAAGATCCAAACGCTGGCTCGCGACGAAATGCCCCAAGCTTGCTGGGCACACCTTGCGGCACGCTTGTTTCAACCTCCGCAGGCTCTGAAAGCTCTGCAGCGGCTGTAAGCTCCAACGTCTTTGCAGTCTCCGCACCCTTTGCAGTTTCCACCACCTCGGTTGTCGTGGGAACAGCGACCTTGGGCGCCTCTGCAGGGGTGGTGGGTTCCGCGGGCGACAGTGTGGCACCTTCAATGGCCGGTGTCCGAGGAGAAGGTGGTGCAATGCTGGCGTGTACAGACAGGGGTGGCGTGTCATCGGCTTTGTCCACGGCCGAGGCACGTTGAGGCAAGGGTGCGGATGTCGGCGTCGTGCTCACATGCTGTTCTGCGGGTGATGGGCTTGTGCTGGGTGGCTGAGCCCGGGGTGGCACGACGGCCCTGCCATCATGAGAGCGGCCGAGCGCAGGGTTTGAGGGGCCCGCGGTCGATGTCTGTGATGGGCGAGAAGGCACCGACGTGGGCATGTGATTGGGGGGCGGCGCTTGGGAAGGCGGAGAGACAGCGCCTGAATTATTCAACAACGGGCGAGGGCTCGCGGCATGGCCCATCGATGCACGATTCTGGGGCGCCGATGCGCCTGTTGGGCGTCCTGCATTGGGTCCGGCAGGTTGCACAGAAGCAAGCGCTTGGGCCATGGCCGCGTGCACGCGCGAACCCGCCCTTTGACGCTGGGGTGGTGCCGGGGACCCCTCATGAGCAGGGTCTTGCCGTGCTCTGCCAGCAGTTGTGTGAGCTTTGGGTGCCGGATTGACAGGCTGGACGTTTGCCGCCGGACCCGGCCGAGCCGTTTGCGCCGGTCTGCTCTGTGGTGCTGCGCTTGCGCTTGTACGTTGCACTGGTGTCGTACCAGGAGGACGTCTGGACGCCGGTGCCGACGCTGACGTGGGTGCTGAACCAGTCGCAGTGCCAGAGCCGGGCTTGCTCACGGACAAGGCCTGGGCAAGCGCGGCGCGCAGGCGAGGATTTGGCGCACGAGCCCGTGGTGGGGCCACTGGGGCCTGATCGGCCATGGCGTCGGGTGTGTCGCGTGCTACAGGCGTGCTTTTTGATGGTGGGCCTGCTGGACGGGTTGGAGGTGAATCGGGTGACCTCTGTCCGTGAAAGGAGGCAGCCACTCGGCGTGCACTGTTGGGGCTAGGCCGCCGCTGAGAGTTGGATGATGCGCTAGAACCTGCGGCCTCTGCCAAAGACAGGCGTCGACTGGCGTGCCGCGCCGAGGTTGACCGATGCAGGCCAGTGGCCGCGCGACTCCGAGCGGCGTTGGGCGGGTCGGCAAAGGCCGGTGAGTGCGGGATGCTGCTTAGGTCAGTAACAATTGGTAAATCTGTGCCCCGGCCACTCTTTAAAGTATGATGCAGGGCCGCACGGCTTCGAATGTACTGCAGGTCACCCTGTGAGGGCTCCGTCCACCCCCTGCCGGCCGTACATATCACAGAGCATGAGCACGGCAGCCAGCGTCTTGCGGCGTGCATGGACACACGCAACCTACACTTCGTTAAAGCCGGCCTCGACAAAAATCAAGAGCTGATCTACGTCTTGAAAACGGTTGCCTATCACCACGCAAAGCATTGAAAGCAGCAGCAGCAGCAGGATGCATCAACATGAGCACATGCCATCGCTAAAGTGGAGGCGAGAATGAGCAGACATGAAGGTACTCGAGACGAACCACTGGCCAGAAGAGATGATCGAGATGCGGCTTCGTCGAAGCGCCGAGAAGCTAGCTTGCTTGACGAGTCACCCTGGATGAACAAATGGGAACGATGAGAAGGCGGGATGTTTGGGCGACGTGAAGTAGCGGCAGCCCGGACGCGTACCCGCGAAAGCTGAAAGCGCTCCTGGGAGAGACCGTGCTCGAAAGCCTTGCCAACTGATTGCGCGATGGCGTGAGCCTGTCCCCGAATGCATTCCCAAGAGCAGCAGAGCATATTTAATAAACATGAGTTTTTGGGAGCAGGGCAACTCTCTGAAACTTGGCACAAGGGGAGAACCGACTGCCTGGCATGGGCGTGATTTCGTTGGTCTGACCTGATGTGCAGCCTGGAAACAGTGTGCGGTAAAGTGCGTGCGATCGCCTTTGGCACAAGACACGATGATAAAATTGTCTTCACTGAGGGCGCTGCAAGAAACAATGCGATGGATGCCAACCACCAAGGGTACCTGGAGCAAGCACGAGACCAAGGTAGCAAAAAAAAAACTTTCTCCATGAGCGGCAAGCCTGCAGGCACGCAGAGTATTTGTACTGCTAGTCATCACTTACTGCTGCCTCCGCTTGATAGCGAATGCCGTTTGTGGTAATGGCCAGTTCCCCAATGGATCCGTCCGGTTGGCTGCCACGCTGCAGACGCAGGCCATCGTAGAACCGGCACCATGAGCATCAGAACATAAAAAAAAACTTGCAACCAGTCAGTAGCCAAAAAGGGGAGGCTCGCTCGACCTGGCATCGATGGAAGGCCTGAGCAACTTGGTCAGTATCGCGAGGATTTTCAATGCGTACGCCACCAAAGAGCTGGCTCACGCCCAACGCCCCGGTCGTGAGGGAAGAGAGAGAGAAAGTGATGAGGATCAACCAGCTACTGAACACGGCCAAGAAGAACGGGCGGCGCGGTGGCGCGGACGCACCATGCAGGGATGGCGGCGGACAAAGTTCGAGGGCAAGTTCCGGGAAGGCGACAACTGAGGCCCCACGTCACCGGCTTTGGCAAACGTCTGATCGTGATCGAGGGCGCTAAGCTCGCTCGTCAAGTCCATTGCTCACGCCTCTGGCAGCATCGCTCCCGTCTGGCAGCTCGACCACTTCCTACAGCAAACACAGAGCCAATCAGCAAACCAAGTCAGACAGCCAATATTCACCACCAAGACGATCAGCAGCGCTGCCACTGATGACCAGACTGGCTTCCCCCCTCATCCGCCACTAGTCGGCTGCCGTTCAGAGACCAGAGACGCTGCCACTTCATCTCTCTCTCTCTCTCTCTCTCTCTCTCTCTCCTCTCTCTCTCTCTCTCTCTCTCTCTCTCTCTCTCCTCTCTCTCTCCTCTCTCTCTCTCTCTCTCTCTCTCTCTCTCTCTCTTTCTCTCTCTCTCTCTCTCTCTCTCTCTCTCTCTCTCTCTTCTACTCACTGATCAATCAATAAAAAGACAGAGAGAGAGCGGCATCGTAAGCAAAACAACGGCAGAGATCGACGGCAGAACGTCGATACTCATAAGCTAAACACCAAGGTAAAGAAGAGAACATCAACGCACTGCCACCCAAAGCAGAGACACAAGAGCCACTGCCCAAACAGCGTTATAAATACAAATGTGTACGTTTTATCACACATTAAACATTTACCGCCAAATTTTGAAACCCGGGGTTGTGTGAAAAAATTTCGGGCAATTCTTTGGGGTTCTGAACACACACACACACACATACACACACACACACACACACACGCTGGTGGGTGAGCGATCCCGTCGGCTGGGGCGAGTAGGTGTTGAGCCGTGCGTTTCTTTGGTGGAGTTGCGTGTTTTTCCTTGAGAGTGAAGGCTTTCAATTCTTCTTTGTCCCTGAGGGTTGTCTGCCCCCTGCATCGTTAAGATGGCCACGGGTGTCGAGCCGCTTGATATCACCGTGGGGCCTGGAACCCCGGTGCGGGTGCATGTCACCCGAAAGCCAATGTCCAATGAGGAAGCGCTTTCCGCCAGCCTGCGACAGTACCAAGACAACACTCACCGCCGCGCTTCAAAGTCTCTGCGGGCAGCCGGTGAAGCGTACGTGAAGCACCAAGACGAGAATGTGCCCCTGCATCGTGATCGACGCGTTTCCTTCGCTGCCAACACCTGTGAAGATCAATACCAAAGCAATGTGCGCCGCGCCTCGGCCGCCTCCGTGCCAGCCTGGACGGCACAGGAGTCCCGTCGCTCCTCCGCGGCTGGACCAACCACCACCGCCGCTATGCAGCGCCCCCCTGTACCCAGCGCAGCTCCAACGCACGCCGCTCGCCGCGTGCCCACCACCCCGTCGGCTGCGGCCGCCATGCGCAATATGGCGGGTATCCAAATGTCAAACGCGGCCGCTACCACCACCGCAGAGAGCCAGCCACGCACGTTGCACCGTGAACCCTTCTACCCACCACCCAACCTTACCCACAAGCCCCGCGCCGGGCGCATGGGCGATGCCAGCGCCAAATCCACAAAGCCCGGTCAGGGCTTAAAACAGGTAAAATCAACAAGTGTTCTGGAACCCACTCCCAGTCCTGCTCCTCGTGCTGATCATTTTGCTCATCTTTGCCGACAATGATTGCAGGGAGCGCGCCCCTCCGTCGGTCCATCATCGCTGCCTGGAGAGGACCTACTGCAAACCGCCTGGGAAACTCAACAGCAGCGGGAGGCCCAATGGCGCTTTGACCGTGCCGAGTCAGACAAGCGGGACCTTCAAGACCGCGTGGACCAGCTTGAACAAGAGCTGCGCGTCAGCCGAAGCCAACAGGATCTGGAGCAGCACGCCAGTCAACTGGCCGCCCAGCGCGAGGAGCTGCGTCGTCGCGATTCAATGCAATATAGCAGTGATCGCGCAGACGGACCGGGTGCCAACTCACAGTATTCAAATGGCGCCGTCGCTGCCACGACCATGCCCGCAAACTCGGCAAACACCCAAAACTCGGCTGGAGTGGCTCTGCCCGATGCCGATGAGCTCGCACATGGGCTGCAGCGCGCGCGCGCGACCCGCGAGGACCTCGTGCAGCAACTCAACAGTTACGAAGCCGCCAACAAGTCAGTCCAAGCCCGCTCTTTAGCAACAACACGTCGCAAGCAAATGCTTTTGCTCTGGCTCGTCAAATGCGCTTCACCTGCAACGTGTTTCATCTCATGACACCTCAACGCCAATTGATTTTTGCCCATTAGGGAGCTTCGCCGCATGCTCACCAATCTGGGTGGCGGCTCCGTGTCCGCCCAAACGACAACCTCGAACCAGGGTGCTGCGCTTCACGGACGCTACTCGGCCTCGGGTGCCGGCAGTCCCCCTGGCCAGCACCCTCACCCCAGCTTTGGGGACATGGGCACTGTTGCAGGTCAGCAGGGCCAGATTGCTCACTATGAGCAGCGCCTGCAACGCCTGGAAGAAGACAACCGACGTCTGGAGCACGACCGCCGGCGTCTGCAACAAGCCCTCGAGGACACTCAACGTGGTTCTGGTTCAAGTGCGCAACTTCAAAACTCCTTTGAAGTGCTCAAGCGCCAAATGAAGGTGTGCTTGCCCTACAAAGCGCCCCCGGCCTTGTTGATGTTTCCTCACGTTTTTTCCCCCGCACCTTTTCCGCAATCACAGGAAGAGAAAGAACGCCTCCAAGAGCAGTTGAAGGAGAAAAAGCGTCAGCTCAAGGAACGCGATGCTGAGCTATCTGAGCTTGTTCGCAACGGATCCGCCTCCATCAGCTCCGTAAGCCAATCGCTCTGGTTTTTCTTGCCAGACCGAATGAAGTCGTGCTGCGTCATGGTCATTCAAGCTCATTGGCTTTCTGGATGTTTGACGTTTGGCCATGACATTAGCTGGCTGAATTCCGCTCAACCGTTGCCAACATTGAAGCCCGCGCCGCGGGTGAGAAGGCCGCATTGAAGCAAGCGCACAAGGATACCAAGCATCGTCTTCGTCACTGTGAGCGTGCGCTCGAGGCTGTCCGTGCCGATCTCACTGTCCGTGACAATCAGCTCTTTGAGGTTCGTCCCATCGTGACAGTCCTTCAGGGTGGGGTGGGGCGGGGCGGGGCGGGGTGGCAATGTTTTGGCCGAATGAATGGCATTCCCTCTTTATATAGGCTCAAACCCGACTGGAAGTCGCCGAACAAGAAGCCCATCGCTTGCGTTCCGAGCTGGCCGGTGCTCAACAGCAAATCCAGCAACAAGTGAGATTCCAGACCATCTGTCTTGCTTCTGCTCGTGTCATATTTGGAAGGTGCTAGCAGGCTCAACATCAAACTCATGTCCATCCACTATTTGCTTCAGGGCCAAGAATTGACCGAGGCATCGCGCGTCCAAGAGGCCTACACGGCCCTGCAGCGAGAACATGACCAGCTGCGTGGACAGCACACAACTGGAGAAAGGTGTGGCATCTTAATCCGGCCAGCTGGCGGATGTCGCGCCTTTCCCTTTAGTTCTGATCTCGCGTGTGCACCACAATAGTTTGATGCGCGAGGAACGCCAGCGCTTGCAAGAAGAGCGGGAGGCACTCACCACGCAACTGGAGTCCGTCCGTCAGCAGCTGGCCACGGCCACGGCACAGGCTGGCATGCTTGAGCGTGACACAGCCGAGCTCAAGCGCGAGCTGGACGCCAAGCTTACCGAGCTGGACCACATGAGTCGCACGTTGGATGCGGCTCAGCAGCATCAAGAACAAGTCGAGACCCAGCTGCGAACGCGGGATGGCGAAGCGGCAACTGCTGTCCGCCGCTGTGAAGAGCTCAATGCCAAGCTGACGGAACTTCAGGCCCAACTTGATGCGGAACAGACCACGAAGATGGAAAGTACGCGCCAGCTTGAGACATCCATGGCTGAGATGCGTTCGTCTCTTGAACAAGAGCGCCGTCGGGCCGAGGATGCCCTTCGTCAAGCTGAGCAGCGGGCCCAGGCAGCCCAAGCCGATGTCGAGCGCACGCAGAAAGGTTTGTTCCGTGCTTGCATCGCGCGCCTTCATGAATGTGGGCAGATGCCAACCTGCTGCCGCGATGACCGTCTGATCTTGAACATGTTTTGCTAGATTTCGCTGATCGAGAGCGTCGCTATGAGGACCAGCTCACGGACTTGCGTGAGAAGCTAGACTATGCCAATACCGCTCGCCGCAGGTCGGTTATGTCACTGCCCCCTTCTTGTGCAGTCAGGACAGTTGCTTTTCGAGAGAGCTCATGGCGCCAATCGCCCGTTGCATCAAACAGCTTGCAAAACTACGTGGATTATGTCAAGTCAACCTACAGCTCGGTGTTTGATGACCCACAGCTGGCAGGACGTGCCTGAGTTAGGTTCAGCTGTACCTTTTGCTTGAACGAGCATCACCATTTAATAAATAGTAAAGAGTGTACATGATAGCAAAAAAGATGAAGGAGGTGTTGCTGTTGGTCTGTGCGTGGGCCACGTTGTTGTTCATGTAGGTGTCTCTGTGCACCGCTGGTCGTTGGTGTGTGCGTGAATGTGACGTCAAAGTAGATGATAATTAACATGATTGTGACAATGTCATGCCAAAGCGAAAACAAATCCTGTTGGCGCTTGTGCTCGAAAAAGAAGGCGGCATTGTGCGTCTGGATAATGCAATTCTCTTGGACGGCGCGACTACGCGCCAACAGCACGGTACACACGCAAAGATCCCACATGCACCCGAGGCTGTGCGATCGGACGGGGCCCTAGGACTGCAACGAGACCATTTGCCCTCCACTTTGAGCTCGTTCTCACCTCTTCTCGGTTGATACCGTTCTCACCTCTTCTCGGTTGATACCGAGATAAGGGTGGGCTGCGCCTGAAAACAACAGCAGCAAATGGCGAGTTAAAGCAAAGTCGTTGAGGTGCAGATGTATCGATCGAGTTCAGCAGGGGCTTGTGTTAAAGAAATGGTACAAAGTGAAGCGGCCTTACGTTGGTGGTACGGGGCGACACCGGGGGACAAGTTCCGTAGAGGTAGGAGCTGGCCAAAACCAGGACGGTGCCCAACCCAAATCGGTTTGTGACGACAAAGTCGAAGAAATGCACCGACAGGAGACAAGAAATGACGATGGATATTGATGTGGCAAAGCCCTGCCAAACCATATGGGGAAATAGCGAAAGCTCGCGGCGTGTAAGATCGAGCAGATACGGAGTTTGACGACGACAAGGAAAGGTGACGCACCTTGAGAATGTTATCAGCGTATTTGACAACTACGGCCACGACGAGGCCACCAATGGCCTGGAGACCAATGGCAGTGTAGGTCCATGCACTGAAGCCGTAGAAGAAACCGTTGCTCACGACTGGGGGTGGAAACGGAAAAGGGAGCAGGGAGGTGAGCTGACATCAAAAGAGAGGGCGCAACAAAGTTGGGTGCACACGTGTCACGTGCGAGGCGGGCGGGCGTACTGTTTTCGCGTTCGGTGTAGAGCAGGCCAGTCAGAGCAATGACGACAGAGAATGAAGCAAGCTGAACGTTGAGAATCCAGATGCCAGCCGTGGCGCCTTTGAGCATCTTCTCAAAGTAGACACCAGCAAAGCCTGCGAGTGTTGGTGATGAGTTGGAAGCGGGGCAAAAAAAAAAAAGGGTGGGGGGGCGGGGGGACGCACCTGAAGAGAAACAGGCAGCCATGACCAAAACGAGGCCAAAAGCCTTGTTATTGAGCTCCAGCTGGTCCTCTGTGGCGTGGGTGAGGAATGGAACCAGTGAGAAAACACGTTGCGGGGAGAAAACGTGTGGGACTAGAGAGAGGAGACGGGAGGGTGGTACCTTGTTCATCAGTGCTATCCGGCAGTTGGATGAGAGCGATGCCCGACATGAGGAGCACCTGGATGTTGAAACAATTTTCAAGGATATTGATGAGTGGGCATGACGCCTATCAGCCTGGGCATTGCAGGCATGTGTTTTGAATGCGCAAGTTTACCCTGAGCCTTTGGGACGTACAAGAGAAAGCCATTGGACCAAGGAGAGGGCTTTGCCCAGCATGATGACGGAGAAGAGAGCGGTCGTTAGGACCTTGAATTGGTATGTCACCTGAGAAGGGGTGAAGATGGGTAACAGGACATTGGAAGATGCCATTCATGAGGCATGAGGGTCAAGCGTGAAGGGGGAGGGGGAAAAAGGGATGGTGGGGATGCTTGGTAGGTGAGTCAAATTGGGGGCCAACCTGGAATGTGGCGGCATCGAGGTAGGATGCACCGAGATAGAGAAGGTTGTTTTGAAGCGTGTAGAGACCAGCGGGCACGAGCAGCTTCAAGGTCACGCCTGGCTTCTGGATGATGTCGTGATGCAAGCGCTGATGCGGCAAAGGTGGTACACGGGGCGGAGGGTGAATGAAGAACGGGCATGAACGGGGGGCGGGGGTGGGGCGTGTGAGGCAACATTTTTGTTGGAATTTGCAGGGGGCGGGGAACGGGGATTCAATGTGGTACCGATAGCATGCCGTTGATGCCGCCTTCCTCGTGGATGATGAGGAGGAGGGAGACAAAGAGTTTGAGGGACTCGGAGCACACGACAGCGGCAGCCGGGTTGTACATGGGCCCTTCCTGTTGGGCGGGCGGCGCGAAAACGATGAGCAGGAGGTAGGAGGATGAGATATCACGGTGAGTTGGAAACAGTCGAGAGTTTGGTGGTTGGCCAAGGTACGAAGTAAGGGTGGAGAAGGACGGAGGAGAGGCAGGCGGAGGACGTGAAGCAGCCGAGGGGGATGGACTGACCTGATCACGCGATGCACGTAGGCTGAGAAAGAGGGCCGAGTTTTGGACCACAAGCACTACGAGGCTCACGTATTTAACCGGAATGCCCATGACGAAGGTTTGCTGCGTAGGATTACCTGGTGTGGACTATCAAGACAATGCAAGGCGGCCAAGTGACAGGCCGGCAGAATGGCAGAACGGCGAAAGGAAAGGCGGGTGGGGGTGATTGATGCCCGAGACCCCGAGACCCCGAGTTGTCCAACGGCGCCGAGGCTCAGGGGCCTTGTTGTCCACCACTGAAGGCACTCACCGACATGAAGACGTGTCGATCGAGACCAACTTAACAGCTCTCTACGTCCTTGACCACCCCGCCCACGAATACCATCAATGGTATGTTCCTCTGGCAGCGGTACCGGCGACAACGCCCGCCAGCACACTGACTGTGATGAGCGCCGCGACTCGCCAGCACCCGAGCACACCCGGACACCAAGAGACAGCGCAGGCACGGGAAAGAATTTCAGAGATGCTTCGATGCGCCGTATAATCTTAGGTGATTCCGTGTAGGAGATTCAACGTTTGTTGAGAGATGGAGAAAAACTCGGTTCGAAAAGCAGAGAGAGACTGAAAGATACGGCGAACGCGTCATTCGATGCGAACAAGCAAAAAGAAAACTAAATCCCTCTCTAAACTATACTTGTGTCCTCGGACTTTAATGGGATCTGCCGAGAGGGTCGTCGGGTCAAATCTGGAACTGCGTGCGTCCGTGCGTGCGTGTGTGTGTGCGTGCGTTCTCTCTGTCTCTCTGTCTGTCTGTCTGTCTGTCTGTCTGTCTGTCTGTCTGTCTGTCTGTCTATCTCTGTCTGTCTCTCTGTCTCCGTCTCTGTCTGTCTATCTCTGTCTGTCTCTCTGTCTCCGTCTCTGTCTCTGTCTCTGTCTGTCTGTCTGTCTCTGTCTGTCTGTCTGTCTGTCTGTCTCTGTCTGTCTGTCTCTCTCTGTCTCTCTTTCTCTCTGTCTCTTTCAGCTTCCCTTGTTTTGGACGTTGCCGTCGCTACTGCTCTTCCTCCTCCGTCGATATAGAAAAACCCAATTTTACCGATCGTCGCCCGACATTAGGGACTCTCACTGGTTGTTAGATGTCGTGTGATTCAGTCCAGGCAAAGCCACATGAATCGTCGTTGCTGCTGGCCCTTGTTCCTGATGTGCCGGCCTGGCTGGCTGGCTGGTCATGTGTTGTCGCGAGGGCGGCTGCAGACCTTGGCTGCTTCTACTGAGGTCTGTGCGGCTTTTTAGTTCGTGGGGCGATAAATGGCGATAAATTGACCATAAAATGATCAAAAATTGAGCAAAAATTAATACAATGCACAGCTCTGATCGCACGACACCAACATCGAAATTCTCTGATTTCCCTATAGGTTTCTTCTTATCTCCAGATCAGATCGGCAGCATCCCTCTGCCTTTTGCTCAAGCAACTCTCTCTCTCTCTCACATTTTCTCTCTCTCACTCTCTCTCTCTCACTCTCTCTCTCTCACATCTCTCTCTGTGTCGCGATGGCGGCGCTGACGGCGCTGGAGCGGCGTTTGAGCGGGGTGGCCGTACTGGAGCAATGCATGGAGACTGGGTTTTTGGACGTGGATGTGGCCAGTCGTTCTGCTCCTGTTCAGGCTACGGTGGCTACAGGTCCCGCGGGCGATGTCGAGGCATTGGCAGGCGCGGCGGGGCCGACGGCGCCCGGTTGGGAGCTGCGCTCCTTTGAGCGATGCGTGCTGGTCTTGAGCGCGGGGGCTCGGGCCGCTGTCATGCTGCCGCGCTCGACGCAATCAACTTCGAGCCACGCTGAAGCTCTGCGTCGTTTCTGGCATGAACCGTCTGCCGATGGCGCGCACACCCTCGTTCAGTCTCACGCTCTTTTCGCCGTTTACGATCCCGTCCATCCCATCGTGGCTGCCGTGCAAACCTCCCATCGCCATTTTCTCATCATCCGCGACAACGCCAGTTTCACCGCCCTGGCTTACGACGAGGATTACGAACCCCAGGCCGTGCATCATGGCGAGCTCCTCACCACCCGTGGACGCCTCCTGGCGGTGGCCTACGAACCCGAGCGTGCCGTCCTCGCTCTCCTCCACCACCCGACCGACCACGACCACGCTCGCCTCGTCCTGGCCCGCCTCGTTCGGCAAACAAACAGCAGGTCTGCCCCACACCACCCCACACCCCCACCCTCCCCATCAACCAACACGGAGCACCCTGCTTCTGACCAGCCCCCGTGTGCTTTTCCATCCACACGCCGGCTTTTCACCCTTCATACCTGCTCTGCTGTTCTCCTCCCCCCAAAATGCCGTCTCGGTGCTCCGCAGAATCGACGTGCTGCAAACGCATGTCGTCTTGACCCAGCTCCCTCCCCAGCACACCTACTGGCTATCGGCCCAAACGCATGACTTTGTCGTACTGGCCCAAAACCAGCCCTGGCGCCTCGTCTGGCACCTTCGTCACAACAGACTCGAAGCCGCTCTCTTTGATACACCGCTGCTCAAGGTGCCCGCCCAAGTCGATCTGGCTCGTCTTGGCCGCGGTTCCGACGTTGTCCCTGCCTACAATTTTGCCGCCGCTTTGCGCGTTATTCGCAGCCATCTCCTCTCCCCGCGCTACACCAACTCCCTACAGGCTGCCAACCTTCGTCTCGTTCTGCACGTCAGCAACGCTGGCCACCAAAGCGCTGCGTCGTCGCCACTCGTCATCCTCCGTACCGATGGTCGCATTCAAAAATTTCAAGACGCTGAACCCCACACAGTGCACGTACTCACCCCAGACACAGCCGCACGAGTGCTTTTTGCCGTTCTCTTCTCCCAAAGCCAAGCGCGTACGATACGATGGCCCCGTCCGCCCCGCCTGCTCTGCTCTGATCGCCCGCCGTCGTCGGCTCACTGCTACTTGCACCAGACGTTTGGTCTCAAGCTTAAACCACCCCCTGTCTTGCTTTGATGCCTCTTCTTCTTTCTTCCATCCGTGCAGTGCTTTTGGGTTTCGCAGATCGCCTGGACCTCGTCCAATTGGGCGCCAAGTCAAATGAAGCGCCGCTTCAGACCACCAAACTCCACCCCGCCCTGCTTGCAGCGCCCAGCGTCAGTGTACCCCGAGCGCCTTGACTTGTCCCCTTACCGCCCCCCCGTTTCATCATGTCACCAACATCTATCGATGTAGCTCGCTTCTTGTATGGCGCCTCATTGTTTTGTAAATGTCGCTTCTCAAAACGCAGCACGTGTACTTTCGCGAAACGGCCGCCTTTCTCTGTTGCTTCTTGCCCCGCACACCGCGTGGCACAAACACATGTTTGATTCATGTGCCTCGAAATCAAGTATGGTCATCTGACTCTTGGCGAAACAATGTGTCCCGATCAGCAGTTTAGATCCACGTCATACTCTTCCGCTGCCAGTCACCGCACCTCGGTTGTATTCTCACAGCAGCCCGTGCGTGGCCCTCTGGAGGATGCGCTGCGCCTGATGGAGGCCCACGATTGGCCCGCCGACAAGGTTTGTGACTCGGTCTTTGATGTTCACAACAAAGTTTGATGCTTCAACTTGGGGGGAGCCCGAGTCCCGACCTGATCACATTGCCGCTGGCTCATCCTTGCTTCTTGCTCGACGTTGGTGGGGCCGACCGCTTGGTTAGTTGCATGCCTTTGATCAAATTGTGCAAGGGCCGGCGCTGGTCTCGGCCGTGTTTGGTCAGGACGACCAACATACTGCCAAGCTCCACCATCATTTTCAGGTGAGTGCCGCTTTGTGGTTGGCGCTGCCGTATCTTGCTCAAACTTTGAATTCTTTTGTATCATGCCTTGTTGCTACCTGGATGTTGAAACCAACTGACGCCTTGTGATTCAACTGTGCGTAGGCCTGCTCCAGCAAGCCACCCACGCCACTTACCAAGGTCGAGTCAGAAACTTGAATTGCTTTGGCAGCTTCTGATGCTTGATGACAGAATTTGTCGCCTTGTCTCAACGTCGTTCGGTTACGGCAGGCGGTTGAGCAGCAAGTGGATGCATTTCGCGGTCACTTGGACCGGTTGCATACGGCGGCACTCGCGGATGACCCTGGTGCGAAGCCAGCGACTCCATTAATGGATATTAGCTCAGATCAAGCGTAAGCATGATGCTATACTTGTCTCAAACGATGTTTTGGGGCGTGGAGGAGCCGAATTTCATGACCGTTGGTTGTGCTAGCATGTGGTACCAATCGCGACGACGACCCACAGAAGTGCTGACAGCATTACTTAAGCGCTTCGGGGTACGTGTCACGGCGCGAGGCGTTCTGTGTGCAGGGAAAAGCCTGCATTGTTGTCGACAAGGGCCTGAGCAGCGTGGCGCGGCGAGTTGACTTTTTGGGGCTCGGGTTGATAGACGAGTGTGGATGAAGTGCAAGAAGGGCGTGGCCTCGCACCTCGCAACGCCGACGGCCGACCACTGAACTACAGCACGTTTGATTGCTTGGCCAGCTGCGCGGCGCGCTGTCGACCCGAGCTTCTGCCCAAGCTTGTTCAGTGGGCCGTGCATTGGCCCTGGACCACTGCTGTTCCTCGAGCAAACATTTCTCACGAAACGCTGACAGAGCGGTATGATTTGAACTACGTCTGCACGAACAAGTCGGGTGTTTTGAGACTTTGAACCAAGGTGCTTATGCGTTTTGTGCCGCTGGGTTTGGTTGACTCGCAGTGTTTATCAACTCTGCACACCACTCCAGGCCAATGGATCAGAGCAATTGCGAACCATCTGCTGCGACATGGTGCAGCGGTGGCGTCCTAGTGACGTTGATCCTTTGCAGCGTACGTGTCAGTGTGTGGGTTCGAGTGGATAGGGCGGCCACCAAGCCGAGTTGTCGACGTTTGGGTCCCTGACAGAGCCTGACTTTGGGATGCTTTATGGATAGATTTGCAAACTTTGCTGGCAGATGCGTACTTGGATGCCGCTGTTGACTGGCTTGATACCCACTTTTCCATGGTACGTGTCAATGTCCATCACATGGGCTTGCATAATCTATCAGCATCAAGCTCATCTCGCATGCTGTGTCATCAATCAAAATGGGCCGGGGGGAGCAGGCCGGTCTGGTGTTGGTTCTTCGAGCGCTAGCTCGGCACGAAGCCTTTGGTGCACACCAAGCCCAGCTCGTGGAACTCCTTCGGCGAGAGGAAGTTTCGCTGGCACGGTTTACAACGGTGCTTCATGACACGATTCGAGAACAGCCTGCGGCAGCGGTCCGCATGAGCGATGTGCTGCCACTCTTGCGGGCATGTGCGGTAGATGAGGCAGCTGATGCTTAGGACAGAAATGTGGACTTGCACTTGCGCCAACGAGATGCAAGTCGTGATACCAACTGATTTTTTTTTCTTCTACAATGTATGACATTCGGCTCGGCCGGCCATATGGGGACCAGGTCTGCAGAACAGCGGAGCCAAAGCGGGGGGCGCATAGGAACAGAGAGGGTGATTGGTTTAAATTTTTCTCCGGGAGAGGCACGACCAGCGTGCCCAATCTATGAAGCGCAAGACTTGACACGAAATAAAAGAAGAAGAAGAAGAAGAAGAAGAAGAAGAAGAAGAAGAAGAAGAAGAAGAAGAAGAAGAAGAAGAAGAAGAAGAAGAAGAAGAAGAAGAAGAAGAAGAAGAAGAGGAGGAGGAGGAGAGAAAAAAAACAGAAAAAAGTAGGGAACACCTAAAAAGAGACAAATTTTATTCAAAACAGGATCAGGGCGAGCTAGGGAGGAGAAGGGCAGGCGCTCGACCAGGCGTGCGCCAGACTGAACGACTACTTGTCCGAGCCACCTTCATGAGAGGGTGGCGAGCCAGCACTACTAGTGGTGGGCCCGCCCACTGTGGTTGGCGGCGGACAGGGGCGGGTCAGGATGGTGCGGCCACTGCTCTTGTTGTAACCCTTGAGTCGGTCGACGACGGCTTGCAAGGAGGTACAGTCGCGCAGGCGTTTGCCATTGAGAATGTAATGGCTTCCAAGGGTGCCATCTTTGCGCACGGCGCGCTACCGGGCATGGGAGAGGGGTGTGAGGTGGTGCGTGGGAGCTTGGTTGGATTCGATGGGACAATTTTGCATCACATTTTTTTAAAGGGCAGGGTTATGAGAGAGTCGTACCTCGATGATGTGGTGTTGAATTTTGCCGTCGCTGACGACGGAGAGGGCGTAGACGAGGCGGGCCTGCTTTTCGCGGATCAGAAAGGTGCCGTCTTGGAGACCAAAGGCGGTGAGGCGTTGTTCAGCGACTTGGCGGGTGATAAAGCCGTGGTGGTAGTCTTCGCTCGGCGGGACAGTGCGAACGTGTGCGAGTGGGGAGGATGATTTGGGGGTTTCGTAGAGGTGCAAGCTGGCGGGGCGAGCAGTGATGGGGCTGTCGTGGCCAGACGGGGCGCAATTGTCCCAGGCGGTACCGATGGACACTTCTGAGCCGGTGCTGTCAGAGCGTAGACGGCCGGCTTGTTCGGGGTTATCGACGGTGGCGTTGTTGGCGACTTCTTCGTCGCTGCAGTCAAACGAGTTTGGCCCCTGACTCAGGGAGGAGTCTGAGTTGGTGGCACGGAGACGGAGATGCCATTGGGGCCGGTTGGTAAAGCGCGGGGAGCGAGGGGAGCGAGGAGATTGTTGAGGGGAGACGGAGCGTTCGCTCTCGTCGCCACTTGAAGGGGCGGATCGGGGTCTGGGGTCTACGGTGTGGGTGGCTTTCAAAAGGCGATTCCGCAATCCCCGCAGCGTCTGATAGTGATTCGAGCCGGGGGACACTGAAATTGGTTCCTGTGGTAGAGATGGCATGGAACGGGAGGTTTGCAATGTGAGACAGGCGGAGGGGGGCGATGAGAGGAGGGAGAGGATGTGGCGTGTGCCGGGGCGAGATTGCGCAGCGCGGGCCTGATCCACGTACTGAGGTTGAGGTTGGGGTGTTTGCGGCGAGGACATTTGTAGGTGCGCTGGGAGCGCCGTCATCGCTATTGTTATTGTTGTTGTTGTTGTTGCTGTTGCTATCGCTGCTTTCCGAAGTGAGCTTGGGAGAAGACAGCACGCTTTGCGCCGGCGCAGCCAGCGGCGACGATGAAGCACCGCCGCGCACGAGCCCAGCCATGATGGGCGTAGGATGACGCTTCAGCAACCGGTGCACAACGTCACCCTCTAACACGTCGGCGACACAAGCGAGGCGCCTTCCCAAACCACGCAGAGAACTCAGACACGGGACGCGGAAGAGAGAGGAGGGTGGTGCGGGGGTGCGCTGCCAATGAGAGAGTCGTCTTGATGTCAAAGCTGCTGTTGAAAGAAGAAAGAGAGATTGAAAGAGTGAGGGAGATTGTGTGAGAGAGAGAGAGAGAGAGAGAGAGAGAGAGAGAGAGAGAGAGAGAGAGAGAGAGAGAGAGAGAGAGAGAGAGAGAGAGAGAGAGATTTAGAAGGAGAGAGCGTAAGAAGCAATACACAGAGATGGGGAGAAAGACCGATGGACACAGAGAGACAGAGAGAGAC